GATGGAGATCCGGCAGCACGAGTGGCTCTCGGCCTCCCCCCACGAGGGCTTCGAGCAGATGAGGCTCAAAAGCCGCCCCAAGGAGCCCTCGCCGAGCCTGACCCGAGTGGGCGCGAACTTCTACAGCAGCGTCAAGCAGCAGGACTACAGCGCCAGCGTCTGGCTCCGGAGGAAAGACAAGCTGGAGCACGTAAGCGCGGCCCGGGCCGCGGCCCTGCACCTGCCGTACGCGCACCCCAGCCCCGGGGCGGGGGCCAGGACCCCGCGGGCGGACGGGCTGGGGGAGGCGGGCGTCCGCGGCGTGCGCCCACCCGAGGCCTCTCCGGCACTTTCCTGCGGGGATGACCGGGCTGCGGTGAGGAGAGGGGCGGGGGTTCCCTTCCGGCACTGCCTGGCCACACACCTCGACCTCCCCGGGCCGCCGCTGCGGGGGGCGTTCGCGCCGCGTTCCTGGGCGCCTTTGCGGGGTGAGCAAGACGGGGAGCTGCCGCGGCGTGGCTCCGAGGAGCCGGCTTTGCACGGCAGTGGGCTTTAGAGGGGCGTTTGCTCGCGTCTTCGGGGCTATTTTACCTGATCCAGAACTAACATTAACGAATCCGTAAAGTTGTCGTCGCTGGCGACCAGCCTAGGTCGGCGCACGAGCCATTCGAGTTTTCTGCAGCGGTTCCTCTGGGATGAGCAGGTGGCGGTCCCAGCTAGGGAGGGATTTACTCGTTGCAAGGAGAAACAGAGAAAGGAGGAGCAAGCAGGTCGCCCAGCTCCCGGGACCCGCCGCTAGAGGGTGGGGGCCGGCTCGCGCGGACCCCCTCTCCCAAAGAGGCGTGCTTCGCCGGAAGCGTTCCTGGCGCTGAGGCTGAGACCCTAAGGCTCGCGGTTCTGGAGAAAAAAAGTTCTCCTAGAACGGCGTTTAGTGGCTTCACAGTTTCCCAAATCTGACCCACCAGCATCTCCTTAACCAAATGTTAACATGAAACTAAGAGAATTCTCTCAAGAGTGCAGCACAGCTAGCTAAGGAGAGGATGCTGTTTCTTCCCGCGGAGCTGCGTAATCCAAATTGAGTCTGTTAATGGAATGTAGAGGTTTTCTTGTATTTGGGTCACATTGCCAATTATGATAGAAAGATAAGGAGAACTTCTGGAACTCACACATCTACTGCCGCAAGGATCTGCCTACCCCGCCCCCCCCCCCCCAATCCGCGTTTCTCTTCTCCTGGGCTTTTCAGCAGCAGCTAGCTTCCCAGGAGTATTGTGTATAGAGACAATTTCCTAACAGCAAATGAATGTCTCAGATTTTTAAGACCATGGAAGTAACTAACTGAAGGAGATTTCTAGGATGCAAGTTGTTTGAAAGGCAGCAGTATCTGCTTAAAAATGCAAGCCCCAGAATTAGCGAAGGAGCCATTGGTTATTAGTTTGAAGAAGGGCTATCCGCCTCTTCGTGTAATTTAGCTTCTGTTGTCTTTATATTATTTTAGTACCAGGGAGATGGTCCACCCTTGGAATGATGATAGACTACGTCTTCATTTCAGTTACCCTCTGTGTATTAATTTGCAGCTTGTACTTTTAGCCGGTCTATTTCCTTTATTCTTTTACTGGAAATCGATAGTGCAGCCTTCTATGACTATGTCTTCTTGAGTCACAGACACTGCACACGTTATACTTAAATGGTGTTTCACTTTTAGGTTTTCGTTAAAAGTATCACGTCATACAGGGTGGGCCACGGCAGCCTCACCTTTATGGATGAGTACAGGATGCTCAGTGTCTCCTGAGGGTTTGAGACCAAGGAAAGGGAGGTCTGGTTGTTTGAAAGGATGTAAGGATCTATGCTTTCTTCTTCACTCAGATGCTTGAAAGTAGAGCATGGTACTTATTTTTTGAAAAATCATCTCATTTGTTATTTAAATCAGTGATTCATTTTTATTTGCTTTTTCAAATACATTTCATGAGATGTATTCTGTGCTGAAGTTTTCTTTTACACCTGCTTTAATTGGAAAGGAGGACTTGCTTTCAGTAAATTTTTTTGTGATATTCTCTTGCCCCTTTGAAACATCTACAGACATTTCAAATGAAATAATATTTATGACAGTGCTGTGAAAAATTACATTTCCATTAAGATGCAAATTTTATTTGCACTCAAGCTCATCTATCCTATGTTGTGTACACTATAATGTTTCAGGTAGTTTGATGTTAATTTCTAGTTAGATATTTGATATTTAAAAATGCATAACAAATACAACCAAGTGTATTATTGCCACACAAAGCATGAAGATGTAATGTTGACTTTATGATAGACAACATTCTGAACATATCAGGCACCTTCAGATTTAGATGTTGCAGAGATTAGGATGAGTGTGTCCTGTGAAATTCAAAGGTGATGTACAGTAGTTTGACCCCTTTGATCTGTCTAATCAAATGGATGACTACCACTTTTATTATGTTACAAAATGAATAATTATGATGAAGATCACATGCATGAAAACAGCTTACTGTTACTCTGCTGGTGCTTTAAAAGCCAAGCTAGTATTAAGGGCATAAATAAATTATGGCTTCAAATGACGCACGTATACAGGCATCGCAATAACGGAATTCCCTGAAATGAAATCTGGCAGTGTGTGGACTGTGTCCAGGTTTCAGAGACATTGTTTAATCTGAAAGTCAATAACACAATGTGAAGTGACATCTGGAGAATATATTTCCACTCAGTTCGCTAAAAATGAGAATAGTTTATCCCCACTTTTCTAGTTTAAAGGCAACAGGACTGATCCCCAGGTTGGACAAGAGAAAATTGACATGAATTGCATAATCAGGAATTGGAATACATTCACCCCATGTTAAATTTGATTCCAGTCATTGGTCGGTTGATACTTAAGATGAACACTCATTAAGAAATAAATGTACATGAGTGAATTCTTCCATTCTTAAGTCATGATTAGAAGCTACAAGGAAGTTATGTTTGTATCATGAATTCTAGACTTTGACCTCTACTTGGAAATTTCAGGAAAAAAGTAAAATTTCTGGGTTATACATAGAATGTTGTCTTATTAGCTACAAATAATGCCCTTGGTTCTTAGAATCTTTCACCTCCTATTCCGCTCTTAATGGTTATGGCTTTAGAAAGCATCAGGTTTGGACCAGCAACGGACAATGGAAGTCTTAAGTCTCTGTAGGATACCATATTTACTTTTTAGGTAAAAGTGAAGGATTATGATCTAAAAAGAAGAGTTGCATGGGGCCACTTTTTCAACTCCCTAACCTGCCCTGCTCTGTCAGCCCTTTCTGGGGCTGGATTATTTTGAAAGTCACCGTTTAATACAGTTTGGCTATCCCAGAGGATGGTGTTATCATTAGGTGTCCTTTGAGGGTATATGCCTTGATTGACCTTTTGTTTCCACAAACTGGGAGAGTTGCAGAGGCTACTCTGTTTAGTTGCCTGGCTTTATGCCAGTTGTATGTGTGTAGAAGTTTCCTGATGCCATTTATGGAGATGGAGATGTCTTATTTCTCTTCTATTTAGTCAATTAGCTTTTGCCAGAGTGTGGTTAAGAGAGGGACTCAGGTTAGACAGGCCACCGGACTCGGTCACCAGGATGTACATTCACAGTCCTCCATAAGGAGTCCCAGGTTTGCTGGATGATTCAAGGAAACAGTCCACGCCTGTACAGCAGTAAGGCACAGTCCCCTCATGGCAGGGGCTCAGTACCACAAAAGGATTTTTCCTTCAGTGCTTCTCATCTGTGCAGCGTGGCAGGTGTCTTAGGTCAGCCTGCTCTAGCAGAATCCATAGACTGAGTGGCTTATAATCATTTATTTCTCACAGTTCTGGAGGCTGGGAAGTCCAATATCTAGGCATGGGCAGATGTGGGGTCTGGTGAGGTCTGCTTCCTGGTTTATAGGTAGCTATCTTTTTGCCCCATCCCCAGCCACTGCTTTCCTTCCCAGCTTGGTGCTGGTGGGATTAAGTCAAGTGATATTTCATTTATCTGCATGGTAGCTCAGAAAGTCTATTTAAAAGAAAGCAGAGGAGAGAATTTGTAAAGAGTAAAAGACAGAATCCTTAATGTTCACACTTGTAGTGAGCCTTGGTATCTTGCTTGCTTGCCTCACTAAAAGAAAAAAAAAAATCCGCTTGAAGTGCGAATTTGCACCTGCTTAAATAGAGTTTATGTTACCAGTGAATAGTAAATAAATGCCAAGTGCACACTTGCCTCCTAGAATAAATTATTCACATGATGAGCAAAGAATAAATGGATTGGAATGAACGTGGTCACTGTGATCTAGGTACAGATTATGTAATGCCATTTATGTCTCACAGAGCAGATTTGTGAAAGTAATTATACCCCACAGAGCAGATAAGTAAAGCACCAAAAGACAGAGTTCAACCTAAGGGAATGAATCTCTAAAATGCACCATTAAAAATCAACCAATCAACCAACCAGCCAAACAAACAAATAAACAAGGAGAAAATATCCTTTTCTATATTTAATGTGTTTGGGCAAGACTGGATCATTTTAGTCTGGCAAACATTTAACATTAACATTTATCAAGATTATTTCCTGTGACATTAGATAAACAGAACAGGCAAAGCCTAGGCTGAGGCAGAATTCTCTGCTCTCTAACACATCAATCAAGACGTGAAAAGTCCAGATGTCTCTTGAGTGTGTTCTAATGCACCTCAGTGTTGTGTCCACTATCATATTTGTCATTACTTTAGGTAGCATGTATTTATCCTACTACTAGACTGTGGGTTGACATTTCAGTTTGTTTTGAAGAAACTTGGACTTCTTTGAATTCCGTTGGGTGTGGCTTATTGACTTATTTTAACATAATCACAGTCAGTGACGTATCATACTTAAATAACTTGAGAAGTTCAAGACTCCTGGACTTAAGATTCCTTTTTCTTCCTTTCTTCCATATTGTAGCCACTACCAATTTCCTCTGGCTGGTTTCTCTAAAAGTCTTAACTTCTTCTTACAGACTTATGTATCTATCTCAGGTTTAAATGTATGTAACAGTTTTCAGTTCTATTTTAGCTCCAAAGGTCAAGAAATCTGATGAATCTTTTGAACTTCTGGGACAAGGCAGTAGCTATAACATGTTGAGTTCTTGTACTGAATTGACTGATAGATGGTATAGTTAGGCAGAGGTAGAATGTGCAGTAAAATAGCAACCCAGAAATGTTGCTTCAAGTGTG